CCCCGCCGGCGGGGCGCTCGCTGTGCCCGTCCCGCTGTCAGCCCGGCGGGGGGGCCGTTTGCCCGGGGAGAGGGACGATTGTGCGGGGAACTGGGGCTGGGAGCGGCGGGGGACGGGGAGGGGTTGAGGTGTTGGGCTTTACGGGCAACCCCCCTGGAAACCCGGGGTGCGTGACCGTGTGTCCTGTGCCTCGGCAGCCACCCCTGGGAGACGGTGACGACGGCGGCCATGCAGAAGTACCCCAACCCCATGAACCCCAGCGTGGTGGGTGTCGATGTGCTGCAGAGACACGTGGACGCGGGAGGGAAGCTGCACAGCCACCGCCTGCTCAGCACCGAGTGGGGCATCCCCGCCATCGTCAAGTCGGTGCGTTGAGGGGGGGCGGGGAGTGGGGGCCGTGACAGACCCACCGACACTGACCCACAGGCACCAGCACTGACCACTGACCCACAGACACCGGCAGTGCTCCAGAACGGCAGCGGGTGAAGCACAGGCTGGTGTGTCAGGAGAGCCCAGCTGCCTGCACCCAGTGACCCCCTGACAGCCAGAAATGCCTGGATCTTAGGTTGCTTCTGTCTGGAAAATGGGTCTGTCTCAACTCGATAGTTTTATTTTAAGCGAAACCCTAATTCTGTTGTCTCAGTGCCCGTTCAATAAGTCACCACTATGTAGGTGTTTTTGTGACTAATTCCCCTGTGTTTGCCTGTGCAGCTCATTGGCACGTGCAGGACAAAGACCTATGTCCAGGAGCACTCTGTCGTTGACCCAGTGAAAAAAACAATGGAGCTGAAGTCCAGCAACGTGAGTAGCCGTGTGTGTGTGTAACTGACACCACTACAGGTTTAATCATTCCTTGTAAATTTGAAAAGGAAAATCACCTTGAAGGTGACTTGAAAATTGCATTAAACGACGGAAGTTAAAGGTTGAAGTCAGCGTTTGTAGTTGACTGGTTTGGTTTTTCAGAAGGGGCTGTGAGGCCTTGCTGGGACGGACGCTGAGCCTGTAAAGTCCTGCTCCCCAGTTTGTCCCAGACCCCGCTGATGAGCAAAGCGATGGGCTGGGGGGTTCAGAACACACTCTGAGAAGGGACCTGGTGTTCATGTCACCATTTCCTCGCCCTGTGATGTTTTGCTCTCTGTGCCCCGTGTGTCAGACCCTGCTGCAGCTCTCCCCAGCGCAGCACACGGGTGCATGGGGCAGAAACCCCCGGAAGGACCCAGATCAGCAAATGCTGAACTTGGAGGTTCCTCTGTCGTGTTCTGCAGCCCTAATACTTACGGGAAAGGTGCAGTGTGTAACTTGGATACAAGCATATGGTTTTGAATGTGCAGCTTTATTTACTCCGTTCCTTCGGTATTTTTATCAAGGGGTAATCCTGTCTTTCCTCCACAGATTTCCTTCACAAACCTGGTGTCAGTAGACGAGAGGCTGGTCTATAAACCCCACCCTCAGGAGCCAGACAAGTAGGTCCCTCTGTCCCGAGGCTGCCCTGAAGCACTGCAGGCTTTGGCTGGGAAAATTCCCCTGGTTTCCATCACCTTTGTATGGAAACTTGTCTAAAAAAGGATGGATTGTCCTTTTCTGCAGAGCACGTGGGGCTCTGGGGTTTTGTTTTAGGAGCAGAAGCACAAGGCAGGGGAGGTGGGGGTGGGCTGTGTCTGCAGGGCAGGAAGCTGTGTGTTACACAGGAAGCTGATGAGGGGAGGTACTGGGTGGGGAGGAGCAGTTTCTTCCAGCAGCGCATTCTGTTTTAAACTACTCGGAATAATTCCATTTCCTGCTCTCTGTTCCAGAACCATTTTGACACAAGAAGCAATAATATCAGTGAAAGGGGTCAGTCTCAGCAGTTACCTGGAAGGGCTGATGGCAAACACCATCTCCTCCAACGCTAAGAAGGTGAGTGTGAGCCTTGGTGGAGCACGTGTCCTCGGGCTAACGGGCAGAGGCAGCACGAACCGCTGCTTTACATTTTGCTTTGTCAATGATCTTAAGAAGGGTCCAGGTAGTTCTGGTGCCTTCACTGTGGAGACTAGCTGCTCAGCTTGCTGGACTTCCTCTGCGTTTTTAACTCTTGCTAATGGAGATAAGTTACTGTTGGCGAAGCGCTCTCTGGGTCTTCACTGGCAGAACATCTCCAGTCAGTTAGCTCGCTCTGCTGCTGCCCTCTTCTGCCGTCTGTTAGCTTTTGCTGTTGAAAAAGGACACACCTGCAGACAGGTCTGAGGGAGTTCTGTGGGAGTAACAAAGCAGTGTTTTAATTGAGAGCCTCTGGGAATCCAAGGCTGTCTCGAGTTCAGCCTCAGGAATGATGAAACAATGCGGTTCATAACGTGGGCACCACTGACAGAAGGAATTTTTTCATGCAATAAGGCAGTCTGTGTTCCTGCCGTACTCTGCTTGGTGAAGTAAAAATACCACAGAGGCGTGTATTTCTGTACCTTTTTTTCTAACTACTGTGTTTAGTCATTTTCAGTAGGACAAGGTTTAACTGATTTGCCAGGAGTGATACACTGATAAACTTTTCTTTGACTGTAGGGCCGTGAAGCATTGGAATGGGTAATTAATAGACTGAATGCAGAAATTGAAGAGTTTGCAGCTTCAGCAAGAGGAACCATGAGGAATTCGATGGCAGCAGCCGCCTTTGCAGAGAAATGATAGTAAATATGCCTGGATCACTAATGACATTTAACAGCTGAAGCTTCTCTCCAAACCTAAATACACAGATCCTTTGTTATTTAAAGGATACCTGTGTATTGGGCGTTCACATTTCATTTGGAGAAAAGCTGATTCTAGCAAAGGAGGCTGAAGCACAGAGCCTGGGCAGTGTTTGGTGCCGCTGGACCGAAGCTCGGTTACAGACAGAGAAGTAATTTTCAAGTATAGTTCCTATATTTACATGAACACTAACTTATAATGTTTTCAGATATGAAATCACCTCATTTAGCCGTGAGGCTAAATATGGTGGAGACTGGCATGTTAGGTTAACTTCTGTGGAATTGTTATTTTTGTGTGACTTATGGACTACCTCCTTTGGGACCAAGCCCAAAATTAAGCAGAATGGTTTGTTCTGGCATTGTTCTGTTTGTTGATTTTTGATAGTTGTGTGATATAACTTGGTTTAACACAAAGTTTATTACTTGACGCATGAAATACAAAAGAATCTACAAAATATTTTTGATAAGGTTTTTAACTTGTTTGGCTGGTTGAGCTAACATGGTACTCAAAATGGTTTTTGGTCAATATAGCTAAAACACACAGTGTCTCATACCTACTGAGACCTAAATTCTATTGCTAATTGCGTCATTAATGAGCTGGGCATGCAGTAACTTCAAATGAAATTTTATCTTAAACTTCTACAATAAATATCTCTGTTTGTAAAAGCCAGTTAAATAAAGGGGCACAGAGCCTTAAAATCCCACAAGCTGCCCAGGTGTCTAAGAGTGGTTGGTGTTCACGTGAACATTTCAAACAGCCACCTAAAGGACTAAAAATCCTTGAAGAAGCTGGCTAAAGGGGTACCTAAACATAAGAGGATGTGATATTAAAGAACGTTAACGATACAGTCATTAACTTGATCATGCTCCAAAAATAACGTGTTACATCAACTGCATATTGTCATGTCCTTTAATTTAACCGCAGTGTTCTACCTTCCAGAAGGTCCTTTACCCTTTGAACTCATTTGCTCACAACACAAGGCTCTTTAAATGAAAACCTGGAGAATAAAGAGTTTTCTACAGTTTGTGTTTGTTTCTTGGCACTCGCTGTAGATGCCTGGTGCTGTCACCACTGGTAGCTGTGGGATGTGAAGGTCAGACCGTGACACCCTTCGTACCCTCAGAAGGTGGCTGCTGGTGCCGCTGCCGGCCCCCGGGGCTCCCGCAGCGCGACGGGGCCGGGCAAGGACACGGCCCTGAATCGGCTGATGTTTGGGTTTTGGTGCCAGAGGTTTTTCCTGGAATTTTCATTCTAAGCTTACGAGTAATTTCAAGAGTCTCTCTCAGCCTTTAAGCACACTTTCCGTTGCCTGCCATTTCCGTTATATCAGAGTTGCCGCTTGACCGGTCTCTGCTGCACAGAGAGCCAGAGCTTATTTAACGTGATAATAAACACAGGGAACACAGGCCTCAGTAACATTGGTGTAGGGGGAAAAGAACTGGTATAGAGATATATATAAAACTTCTAAAACTTTAACTATGCTAAATATTTTTGTAAAAATAAATGGCTTGAGACTACCTCAATAAATTTAAAACATTGAGGTTTGCCATGCTTTTACAGGAGGTTATTTAACTGAAATAGCATTTCAATTTTAAAGTGTGAAACTTCTGCAAAATGGCACCATCATTTCTGATAAAAATGCACTGCTTGAAACTCATTTTAAATGTTTGTTTAGCCATTAGCATCACTTGACATTTTAAAGACAATTTTTTTTCTTTTCCTCATTTTTCTGCAGTAAGGATTTTATAGGATGAACTCACAGTTTGCTCTTGCACTGAAAAACCTTCCATGTTTGTAAGCATTCAACAGCTTCTTGAAAGATGGTGATTTTCTTTGTTCTACTTTATTTATATGCCTGCATTTTCATTCTGTCGGGGAGTATGGCTTTCTGTACGTGGCGCTTTTTAAATAAAACTTTATCTGAGTTCTGGGTAGTTCCTGAAAGTTTCTGATCTATTTGGGGTTTTCTAACTGCTAGACAAGGAACACAGAATGAGGAGGGTGAAGGTAAGGAAAAAATTACTTTTTCTCAGGTTTGATATAAGAATTGACCATACCAGTGGTGGTATTTTGGTGTTAACATAGTAAAAAATTTTGTACTTACCTGAGAAGTATTTCTTCTTGCTGACAGTGGGTGTCAGCACCTGTTCAGTACTATAGCAGTTAACTATAAATGCAAAGCAGTTGTTTGTTTTGGAAAAAACCAGAAAAACCTTTAATCACCATTTCCTACAACATTGCTGATGTGCCTGTTGTGGTCTCTCCTTGCAGTGAAGCCAGCATATTGAGTCTAGCATATTTCCAATAAATGTCATATATGGTAAACCCAAGCACCAGTGTCTGCAAACCGCAGCCTTTCGCATCCCCTGGCACGGGCAGCACGGGGGCTCGAAGGCCAGAGCTGCATCCTGTCGGGGCTCAGGGTGACAGAAGAACTGAAGAGGCCGATGGAGAGAGTTTGGGTGACAGCACTGACTGGGTTTAGCACCCTTCTGTTCTGCAAGGGGAAGGCTGTTCTTTCACTTGCACAAGATCTGTTCATTTCTCTCTCAAATAAGTTGACGGCTTTGCTTTATATGTTTATATGTATCACAAGAATTCAGCACAAGATGGCTGCCATAAATCAAATTACTCTGAAGGTGAGGTTACTTCTTAGTTGCAGCTAAGCTGAACTAATTGCTTACCTTCAATGAAAAGGAAGTGTCTGCCTGCCTGCCTTCTTGCTCCTGGCTCTGCTGTCCCTCTTCCCTTGCACTGAAGATAGACATCTCCGCACCCTCTGTTGAGCCAAAACCCCAGGAATATTCAAAGTGATATAATCCTTATGCAGCAAGATGAGACAGGCTGAAAGAGGAGAAATGGAGGATCTCCTTACCCATAGGAATCTCTTGGATGATGACATTATATTGCTTCTAAAATGTATGTTACAATAAATCCCACATTGCACCTACTAGAAAGAGCATTTCATGCTGTAAACAATGTTATTAAAACAACAAAAAAAATTACAGTTTTATAAAACAGTAACATTAAAGTATTTCTTCTCAGACACATGTATCACAAGAATTCAGCACAAGATGGCTTTTTTACATTTCTCCAGAAAGGTTTGACAGCCCTTTAATCAAAAAGTTCAAAAACACTGAACTAAAAAAATAGCATCAGCTAGATAACATATATATATAATCAAACTGAATATACCAGCTAGAATAGAATAAAATGAACAACATATGTACTGAATATTTTTCTAATCACATACCCAATCCTTTTTACACCAAATCAAATGAAACAATTGCTCCTGCTGTGAATGTCACTATTCCTAGAGCCCGCTCAACGTTGTGGACACCCTGGTAAGAACTCTGTTTTACAACATGGCAAGTGGCATCACTTGGGTGAGTTCTTGTTAATGGTTTCTTTGGGGCACTAGGTAGATATTACTTACCTGGGAGATAACTGCTTTGGTTTATTGAGATTTAAACTCTTTTTGCACATAGGAGCTGCAGCAAAATCTAGTAGGTATGTTGTGAAATTGGCAGTAAGGAAGCGTGTATCAGAACTCATACTGGAATTTATTTCTATTTCATAGCCATATCATATTCTGAATGATCTACCTGAAATACTGGCAGCACGTAACCTTCTTAGCCCAATGCTCTGTACAGTTTCAGTTTCTCTATTTATAATTGCCGGTTTTGAGGGACATTCCACAAGCTACGCCGTTTCCCTGTGAAGGCCCAGACAGCCCAGCAGCAGCTGGGTGCTACTGCTACACACAGGTGGTGTCCGTTCCCTCTCACCAAAATGAGCTGCAATTGTGGCCCTTGTTACTGAGGAACCCAGGGCTCCCTCGGTGGTGGAAGTAGCGTAAGCACCTCTGAGCCTTCACAGGTTCTGAGAACAGGCTCTGCCATTGATGTCACCCAGTGTTTGTAAAGCTTTCATTCAGTATTACCAACTGTGGACACAATGTTTTATATTGTTGTGCTATTTTGACATAACATTTAAAAAGTAGCATAGCGTACCTGAATTCTGCTCTGCAGATCCTTGGTCTCTCCAGGACTATTTATGCCAGAACTAGTAGAATAGAGAGTGAGAACTTGGATGGCACTACAAAATCATTTTTACTTTGAATCCAGGTGTCCAAAAGTTAGAAATTAATGTCTTCATCTGCTTCATCAACTATCCTTCCTTCCTGTAATAGGAAACAGCACAGCACTGCAGCTTTATCTTAAGATTAGAGCTGATTTTGGAGTTTGTTTTCCGCTGGTGCGCTGTGCAGAGTGCTGTACTTAGGCAAGAGGAGATTTAACAGGCGGTGACCCGTATTGTCATCAGCATGGCATGATTTCCAGTTGCTGTGGAACAGATTAGGGTCATCAGCAGAGAGAAGAGCAGAGCTTTACCAGCACAGCCCAGAATGGCTTACACGGGCAGAGAAAGGGGATAAATCCACAGCCATCAAAGGTAGGAAGCATTATTACTGACTGGTCGGTTTATACAATAGTGACCGTAATTCCGTGTTTCTTGACAGTGGTATTTCATAGGAAAATGTGCACTCTTGGCCATTTTAAATTAAGGCAGAAGGAACGCAGTGAAGGGATGATGGAATTTAGTCTGTTGGAAATCCTGTTGATACTGGCTTTTTGTTGTATTGGAACTTGCCTTTTGTATAATTATTTGCTTTCCCCTGTACAATGCATTTGAGAATCTTTTAAGAAAAATAAGTCAGTCACAAAATGATAGTGTGGGTAGATAGCAAGGGTCGGGAGGAGGGGCATGGGGGTTAATTATTTTTGTTCTTTTATTAAGAATATAGGTCAGCAAGCAAATTTGTAATTTCATCACAAATTATGCATGTTAAGAAGAATTCATTTGCTTTGCCTTTTACTCTATCAACTTTGTACTTTTGATAGAACTAGAGCCCCGGTGCATAAGCTCTAAAATTACAGCTGCATTATGAGTAAATATTAAGTGTATTCAAGGACCGTGTCAGGTCTCACCATTGGTACACGAGCAGCTTTTTTTCAGTCTGGTAATTTTTGTGTTGTGCCAAGTCCCCCACTTTGTGTAGTCAGACATCATTCCTTTCGACCTCAGCCCATGCTCAGCAGACACCTGCTGCCGCTCCGAGGTGCCCTCGGTGGGAATTCCACCCGTGGTGATTATGTTAAATCCATTAGACACGCATCTGCACCTCAGTTGTGTAATAGCACAGTCAAAGCTCGGGTCTATTCACCTGAGAAGCTGCAGCCTCCTCTATGTGTGTATTTTCACTTTCTTGGCCCATAAAAATACCTTTGTGATGACTGTTTGAAAAACTCTATGTGCTTTCCTGTGCCCGTGTCTGGAAAGACAAGAGCAGGTTTCAGCCACTCTCTGCTTTGAAGCACAGCCTTCAGATGAGAGAAGGCAGCTGTAGATCACCCTCTTGACCTATTCATACTATAATTAGATGCACCTTTATGAACTGAAATATAAGCTGTTCTGTTCCCTTTTTAATTAGATGCCTGCCTTCTATCAGAACTTCACTTTAGAATATTTTTATTAAACTATTCAAACTAACCAATAAAAAATTACTGTTATTATAGTACAGGTTTTATGTCCAGACGTACAAAATGAAAGCAATAAAAGAAGATCTCTTTTTATCTGAAAAGCAAGTAGAACTATGTTGCTGAAATGTGTATTTCTTAGTGACAGAATCAGTTTAGCACACTGCTAGCTTCCAAAAATAAATCCTGCACACACTGCCGAGAAAAATACAGTTTTCTTTGCCATTTTTGTTCATGTCATCAGGAAGATCCATATTTTTTAGTTAGATGTTATGACTCAAGAGGAAATAATCTCTCATACCTTTGTAGTCAGAGGCTCAGTTTGACTTGTTGCCGTTTACAACCATGTATTTTTTCTAAGTCTCTCTCCATAACCAGTAAGCAGCCTGGTATCTGAATAGCCTATGGAATCTGGAAAAGAAGAACAAAAATATTTTATTTTCCATTCTGTCACATAACTATTATTTTATTCCAGACCTTCTATACTGCACCTCTCTGAAGGAGCAATATTATAAATTAGTCTGTGAGCTCTTATTACTAGATTTTTTCTGCACCAAAAGAGAGACTGCTGAGAGACACCAAGATTAAACCTATATGCTTACTTATTTTCAAAAGTAATATTATCTGAGTTCATTATGTCTTTTTGTTTTGTTTTGGCGTGTTATTAGAGATCTTTAGTTTAAAATACTTCTGATTTAACACCAGTCATCTTGTGGATTTGCTTGGCTTTTCAGTATCGATCTACCCGGACCTCCTTGGTCTCACTTTTTTGGCCTCCCTGGACCCCTCCAGTGTCAAGACTTCAGCCTCCTTGGAACTTTTTAAAATCCCCATTTCAGATTCTTTGGATTTATCCAGTCTGAGCTCTTCATCCTCTGTGGACTTCTCCAGTCTCACTTCATCTTCTCTGGACCTTTCAAGTCTCACATCTTCAGCCTCCTCGGACTTCTCCAGTAGCTCCTCTTCAGTCTCCTTAGAGCTCTCCAGTCTCACTTCTTCAGACTCCTGGGAGCGCTCCAGTTTCACCTCTTCCATCTCACTGGACCTATCAAGTCTCACTTCATCAGGCTCTCCGGATCTCTCTGGCGACAGCTCTTCAATCTCCTTAGACCTCTCAAGTCTCACCTCTGGACCCTCCTCAGATTTCTCCAGTCCTACTTCTTCACCCTCTCTAGACCTCTCCAGTCTCGCTTCTTCACCTTCCCAAGATGTCTCCAGTCACAGCTCCTCAGCTTCCCTGGACTTTTCCTGTACAATCCCTCCACCCTCACTGGGTGTCTCAGAGCACACCTCCTCAACCTCTTCAGAATCACTAGATCTCACAGATTTTAACTATTTCATGTTTCAGGGCTCCTCCGAATTACCGTCATCGACCTCTGAGGATGTTTCTAATCTCATCGCTACGCCCTTTCTGGATGTCTCCACTCTCACCTTTCGGGAGGCTTCCTCCCTCACTCCCTCAGTGTCTTTGGACATTTCCAATCTCACAGCTCTAGTTCCCCCAGACCTATCCACACTCACCTTCCTGGAGGTTGCTAATCGCACCGCCTCAGCTTCTCTTGATCTCTGCATCCAACCCTCTTAACACAGTCCTTCCTCTCACTCCAACATCATCTCTGTATCTTTCTAAACTTCCCTCCCGTGTGCTCTTTTCTAACTTCTGTCTCTGAAAGTTCTTATCTGAGGACAGTTCAGGGCTTTAAAATATATCCTAGCCTCTGAACAGAACCGGGCATGAAAACAGGTCATTCAAATCTATAATGGTGCCTTGTTAAAGCTGCAGAAACATCAATATATATTCTGGAATTTTTGTAGAGCACAATTTCTGTCACTAATCTGATTTCCATTCTGTCTCAGCATGGTACCTCTCCCAAAGGGTCTGTCTTTTTTTTTAATTCATGCGAAATTTTTATCTATCAAGATCAAATAGTAAATAGATCTAAATGCGCAAATAATTGCATCCAAGTTGCATATCTCCATTACAGATTTAAATCTGAGTGCATTGCATGGAATTACAGGCAGAGCCATTTCATGTGGCGGTACAGAGAGAAGTGTGGGGTAAAGGCAGCAGGGGAAAAGGGCAGAGAGGGGGCAGGGAGAGGAAGGGGAGAAGGTGTGGGGCAGGGACAGAGGCACGTGTAGCTGGAAGAACCATGTCCAACTCTGCTAGCATAATTTTTTTCTGCCAAGCCATATTTGTGGCCTGGGCTGCCCATGAGCCTTTAAATAACCTTATTGATAATTATTTTACCTATCAAATCATCAGATGTTACCATTAAAACAGCATTTTTGTAACACATCCCCCTTATCAATATATATAATTAGTGCATTTACTCGTATTGCACCAAATACATTGCTTCGGTAGCAGGGAGGAGCTTCCTTAAATCTTTGGTGCTTTCTTGTATCTTGTTGTTATGGTTGTTATAGTTGGGTTGTACAAAACAGATGTGTTTTGTTCCAGTATCATCTACTGGCACCCCTTTTGTGTTAAACGCACAGTTTTTAATTGATTTAATTTTACAAGTTGGAAAGCTTTGCTCCAATATGCATGTCTGTCTCAAAATTAGGTTCACACAAAAAATAAATACAGAAATAAATGAATGAAATAAGAATTACTTTCTGCCTCATGTATACTACTTATTTCCTTAAAACTAAGTATGAAAGATTGTAATACAGGGATTTTGTTTGTAAATGAACCAGCCATCAGCTTCACAGAAGAGCCAGGCCGTCATTTCCGTTCATTAGTTAACTGACCTATAGCGTGTTTCTGGCGAATCACCGGCTCCGGCGCAGGGAAGGCCGCGCACCCCCCGCCGCACCCGCAGGCCCGGGGCAGGCCGCAGCTGGGCACACCCCGGGGGCGGGGTTGAGGCCTCCCCAACAGGGGAGGTGCCAAACCTTTCCCAAGCAGTTCCTACCGGGGGCGCAGGGACTAACGCGGCGCTGTGTGGCCGCGGGAGGGCAGCCCGCAGCCCCGGACCGCCTCTTCCCCGGTGGCGGGCAGCACCGAGCCTCGCGGCGGCGGAGCCGGGCCGCGGATCCTCGGGCGGAAGGGGCGGGCCTCGCGGGCCTCATTCGTCCGTCTGATTGGTCGCTGCCAGAGGAGAGCGCAGGTGACTGGCGGGGCGACTGGGCAGTTGCCATTGGTTAGCCGCCGTGAGGTAATGCGATTCCGATTGGCGGGAGGGAATCATTCCGGCTTTGTTGATTGGCTGGAGCGCAGCGCCGTGGTCGTTCCCCTTCCGGTGGGCGCTGACCTTGCCGGGAGCGCGGCCGCAGCCATGGTGGCCTACTGGCGGCAGGCGGGGCTCAGGTACCCGGGGCAGCGGGAGCGGCGGGGGGCGAGGGCCCGGCGGGGCGGGCTGGCGGCGGGGGGGGCGGCCTGCGGGAGGTGTCTGACTCTTGTGTTCGGTTTCCCGTGTCCTCAGCTACATCCGCTACTCGCAGATCTGCGCCCAGGCGGTGCGAGCCGCCATGAAGCCGCAGTACAAGGCGGAGGCGGAGAGGGCGGCGATGGCCACTGTGAAAACCGTGAAACCCAAGAAGGAGTAAGATGTAAGTGAGTGGAAGGGGCTGGGGCGCCTCGGTGCAGTGTGTGACACGGGGAGCGCTGGCTGCCCCGGCCGGTAACCCCCGGGATTGGTTCCTGCTCTGGGGGAAATGGGCTCGGAGCCCGGGGGGAGCGGGGAGGGCTCGCCGAGGGGTTCAGCGCAGCAGACAGTGCACGGTCCGGGTCCCGCCTGCCTGTGGGATGCGAAGCAGCGTAACGGCCTCAGTGAGGTGTCCTCTCCCTCAGGAGGTGTCCTCCCCCCCTGCTTCAGGCGCTCCGGGGGTTGGTCAGAGCTGTTCCAGACCCGTGCGGACCAGCCGGTGTCTGTAGCAATGCTTGGAGCTTTCCCGACTCTTCCCGGAGGCAGGAGACAGCCCCTGAGCTGCTGTTTCCTCCGTCAGCAGACGTGGTTGTGTAGGGGTTGTTGCCTGGCTGGGACAGACAGGTGCTGCTTGTACCTCCATTGCTGACGTTGCACACATCACCAGCAGCTGAAATCCCTTCTAAGAACAGCTTCTGTTCCTGATCTGAGATGAAATGTTATTACCTTTTGTTTGAAGCGTGCCTTGTCTATACTCTTGACTCAAATAACTTGCATTTTAAATCTCTCGTAGGAGCCGGTCTGTGGTGAATCACAGTGAACTGCAGAGCTGGAGGCAAACTCAGGACTCTGCAGAACCATGTCATCACGTTAACTGTAAGAGTTGCTTCTGTGTGTAAAGCAATATGCTAATAAAAGCAATTTCTGTTAAATGAATGAATGTGTGGAAAGTGTTGTTCCTCTTGAAACAAATTACTCCTTTGCAGAGACATTTATCTTTCACTTGTTAAAATAGGAGGGTGTTTTTATCACTCTTCCATTCAAGAGCAACGGATGTTTATTTTAAGGCAAATCTCCTGTTGGATTTCATGCTGATATTTTGGGTACATAGATGAGTGGGAGACTTAATTGTTGTTTAAAACTTCTGCCTGTCTCGTTGCAATGATTCATGATTACTTTGGAGGAAAGTAGTCCTGGGTCGGGCTCCCGTCGCTGGGCTGTGGGCTGTCCTCGGTGTCACCGCGCTGGGGGTGGGGAAGGGCAGGGATGGGGTGATGCTCCATCTGCTCTTAGGGTGTGGGGAGAGCTGGGGGGCCCTGCCTCTGTGTGTGTGTGTGTGTGTGTGTGTGTGTGCGCAGCAGGGCCACCCCTGTCCCCTGCGTGGGGAGGAGCACAGCACGTGCATGGATCCGGCCCCGGTGCTGGGTCCTCGAGACACCTCTGCTGTTGGCTCAAACTCACAGTTCAATAAACTTTCTCTTCCAAGACCATGATAAAACAGACTCCTATTTTTTCATGTTAGTCCTTACAAGAATAAACTACAGTTTTTGTCTGTCAAATGTTTCAAGTATTAAAGTATTTTATAGAGTGGTATATAATTTTTATTTTAAGGAATGTTATAAATACAGTCTTAACTAGATGGCTGTGAACAGCAAGGAACTTTTTTTCCTGAAGTGAAGATACATTTGACTCGCATCTAACTATCTGCAAACCATTGCATCCAGTTTGCTGTACTGAGTGACAGGAAGAAAATTTACAATAGTTAGTACATGGGTGGGGGGGAACCCAGCTTTGTGCTGGTGTAACTCCATCTATAGTCTGAAACAGAACAAACCACACAATGAGAATGAATCCAAGCCCTGCAATAATAGGATAATAGAAGCCAGCAAGGTGATAGAACTATTAAATACTTTAAAACGAAGTAAAAATGTGCACATTGAGTCTTTAGCCCCGTGGTGTCCCCCCCGCAGCCGCAGGGGCTGAGTGAGGCTGCTGTGGGTCGGGGTGGGGGGCCCTGCAGCGCAGCACAAACAGAAGTGGATGGTGTCTGCAAAGAACACCGACACCTGAGGAGCTGATGGTGGATTTTGCTGTTGGTTTTGCTCCCGGGGGTGTACGTACACACACGGGCTGTGTGTTACCCTCAGTACCCACTGATGATACTCTGAAAGTGAATACAGTTATGAGAAGGGCTGTTGTGAGATGACTTGTCTCCATCGTGGCTCTTCTGGGAGACTGGGTGCCAACATTTGGGGGAGAAAAGCATGGCTGCCATTAACTTCAAAAGCATTGTATTGTAATACTGCATATATTTTGGCCAGAAGCAGAGAAGTTACTAAGAAAGGTGTTGCTTTCAGTCCGCAGCTGATGGCTACTGGCCCATTCGGAGAGGGGTTTGATGTTACCAGGGGTCTTACGAAGCTTCCTTTTCCGGGCTGGCTTCTGCCTCCACCTCTTCATATTCCTCCACATCCGCAGTGGCGTCCTGGTACTGCTGGTACTCGGACACCAGGTCATTGGTGTTACCTTCCGCTTCGGAAAACTCCATCTCGTCCATGCCCTCCCCGGTGTACCAGTGGAGAAACGCCTTCCTCCTGAACATGGCCGAGAACTGTTCGGAAACCCTGATGAAGAGCTCCTGGATGGCTGTGTTATTGCCAATGAAGGTGGCCGCCATCTTCAGTCCTCGCGGTGGTATGTCACACACGGCCACTTTGACGTTATTAGGGATCCACTCCACAAAGTAGGAACTGTTCTTGGTCTGGACGGCCAGCAGCTGCTCATCCACCTCTCGGGTAGACATCCGGCCCCTGAAGATGCAGGCCACCGTCAGGTACCGCCCGCGCCGGGGGTCGCAGGCCGCCATCATGTTGCGGGCATCAAACATCTGCTGGGTGAGCTCCGGCACCGAGAGGGCTCTGTACTGCTGGCTGCCGCGAGCCGTCAGCGGGGCAAAGCCCGGCATGAAGAAGTGGAGGCGAGGGAAGGGCACCATGTTCACGGCCAGCTTCCGCAGGTCCGCGTTCAGCTGGCCGGGAAACCGGAGGGAGGTTGTGACACCACTCATGGTTAGGGACACGAGGTGGTTGAGGTCACCATAGGTGGGATTGGTGAGCTTTAGAGTTCTGAAACATATATCGTATAGAGCTTCGTTGTCGATGCAGAAGGTTTCATCTGTGTTCTCTATTAGCTGATGGATGGAGAGGATGGCGTTATAGGGCTCCACCACCGTGTCGGATACTTTGGGGGAAGGCACAACACTGAAGGTGTTCATAATCCTGTCGGGATACTCTTCTCGGATTTTGTTGATGAGGAGCGTGCCCATACCTGAGCCCGTGCCCCCGCCCAGCGAGTGGATGAGCTGGAACCCCTGAAGGCAGTCACAGCTCTCACACTCGTTCCTCACCACATCCATGACGTTCTCGATCAGTTCAGCTCCTTCTGTGTAATGGCCCTTTGCCCAGTTGTTTCCAGCACCCGAATTTCCTACAAACAGAGTTACAGAAAGAGCAGCCACAAAGTCAACAGGAGAATTCTAAAGGCTACAAAGCTGGGAGTTAACAGGCCGTTTGGGACAGCTGGCTGCAGTCAGTTTGCTGACAGCAGGCTGGACATACCATGAATAAAATTGTCAGGTCGGAAGAGGGGGCCTATTTTGCTAGACCGTACACTGTCCATCGTACCGGGTTCCAGGTCCACCAAGATAGAACGTGGCACATATTTATGAGCTAGGACAAAAGAAAACAAATGTGAACAATTATTATTAGAAGTCAAAGAGAACGACTCATGACTTAGTCTGAAAAAACCAACCCACCTACAGCGATTCGGGGATTTTTTTAATTTTTTTTTTTGAAATCACTTATTTTAACCTTCATGTTGGCTCTGCAGATTGCTCTGCCAGCCCCCTCGCAGTGCCCAGCACTTACAGTAAGCCTCGTTGAAGTAGACATTGATTCTCTCCAGCTGCAGCGACGCACCCCCACGGTAGTTTCCAGCGATGTCAATGCCATGTTCATCACTGATCACCTCCCAGAACTGGAAAAGAGGTTCAATACACTCATAAAGACTTTTTTCTCAGCACAATGTGGCCAGCACCAGCCCCGCTGTGCTCGTGCCTGACCCTGGCAACTGGGAACACTGCCTCATGGGGAAACTTTGCCATTTAGGTATTAGATCAGAGCAAGGATCCTCCTCTCCTCCCCACAAATGTAGACCATTTACACTGCGTAGCTCTCACCCATGCACTAATAGGTGGAGGCCCTCAGTTTGTTCCCTTTATCATCAAGGAAAATTGATATTAGCTTAAATGGCACAGGTACTAGTTGGCATGAGCTTAGCAGAAAAGTTGGGAGGTGGGAGGGGGGCTGCTCGGGGGCCTGTCACGCACACGTGTGCTGGGGCACGGCAAAGCTGGCTCCGACAAACTTGTGTGTGAGCAATGGTTTCCACAAACAGATGTGGGTCCCTGCCGTCCTATCTTGACGTTCACATGGATGTCCTGTGCTGGGGCTCTTATCGGGGCAGCAGCCACCCCAGCGTTTGTGGACACACCCGCCCACTCTAACGACCGGGCTATTTTAGTCTTAAAAGTCTTCTGGTTTAGCATCCAGCCTCCCTCCGAGTGTGCAAATAAACCATTCCCAACATGTGCATGGTGTTTCAGTGTGTGTGCTTTTCTACAAGTCTCATTAGACACAAGCAGTTTCCAGGTCAAAGCCAACAGAAAACAATATAAACCCTTTAACCGTCACGCGGCTGCACCCAGCCTGCCTGGGTCTCACACGGCATTCCCCGGCCATCCACAGCTTCGTGTTCCGATAAAAGGGAACAAGGCGAGAATCGTGGGAGCAAGAAATGGAGTAAGAACACAACAGAACCATCCTTCAGCTAGTATATGCCTTCAAAGACCACCGTCCTCACCCCAAATTAACCCAAACACTTTTTTTTTAGCAACTTCCTACTAATCAATTAAAAAAAGCTTCCAAAAGATGAACTTCACACAGCAAAAAGCAATGATGGTTTTTTCCCTCCTGGAAAAAACCATTAACCTTTGCATGTAGAGCAAGCCCATCTTAGGACTTTCCCATCAAAATACTGCTATTCCCCACTAACACGTCATCCTACCACCGAGTTAACAGAGCACTTGTTCCCCCCGGGAGCCCCCGTCCGTGTCCAATGTCCGACCTGCTGCCACCGACAGCGCTCACGACTAACGACCCGTCCTGGAGACCATACCTTGGCTCCAATTTGGTTCCCGCACTGGCCGATCTGGAGATGCACGATCTCACGCATCCTGTGTGGCTCGGAGCTGCCCCTCACCCTGGGCTCTGTCCCCGGCACCAGCTCCTGCTGCTGCTCTATCAGCTGCACCCAGCGCCGCCCGCCCCAGGGCCCTTTTATACCCTGGGACCGTGCCCGGCCGGCGAGGGGAGTAGCCGGCTCCCGGGGCTGCCCCGCGCGGGGGCAACGTGCCCAGGTACCGGCTACCGGGACCTCACCGGTGCCTCGGAAGAGAAAACTGTCACACGCACCCCCTTACAACTCACTCCAGCCCTCTGCGTGGCAGCCTGAGACTCACGAGGGTCTGTGCACACCCTGTTTGTGCTTCACTATTTTACACATAATGTATACACAAATATACACCCGTATAGAGCAATTACAGCCTCAAACGAGCCATTTTAATTCATTAACTGCATATGCTTCTGCCACGTAATTTAAACACCATGTGAGTCCTACAGGACAACATCTGCAATTAAAACAACAACTTCCCAGCAGCAGCCTCCTACAATCACAACACTCAGCACCTTGTCAGGCAAACCTTCGCTAATGAGCATCATTCCCAGCTGCACGAAGGAGAGGTAACAGGACAGGATCAGCAACAAAAAAATACTTTGCATGACAAAAATATAACACTGCACTCTCAGTGATGTATGTTCCTTAAACATTTAGTAAGAATCTACCAATTTCAGCCAATCTAAAATCTGAACCAACTTGTGACTGACTCCCAGAGACGCTCACTCTCTTGCTCTCTCTTCCTTTCCTGCCATTAGGAAATACAGTATTTCTTATATTTCTTATTCACTTATATCTGAGATGTGGTATTTCAGAACAACCTGCCAGGAAAATGCAGTCCCACCCCAGTCCCACCGAAGCCACCGTGGTGTTCACCGCGGGAAAGGCCTCGCTGCAGCGAAGGAAACGACACGCGTTTCAGCAAAACAGGGTCCTGCTGCCTCCTGATAACCAGGACCAGTATCACCCAGCAACAGAACCCCAGCAGGGGCTGTCTTCTGAGAGCTCAGAGTAGTTTTAATACTTGTCAGGCCACTGTCAGTGCCTAGCAACTGCTCCTTTTAAGGATAGGAAAGGGAACTATAATTAGGAGAGCACCTTAAATTATTTTGTACAAAAAGATGACAGTGGAAGGACTTGACTCACTGAAAGCAGCTCCTTCATGGGGCGCTCGAGATAAGGACTTGCTGAGCTTCCATCTTGCTCCAGAATTAAAATCAGCTTGTTCCAGACTTCCCTGCCACAGATGACTTCCACTTCTCCACCAGCTGAGGGAGGAACAGCCAACTGCTCCGAGGCAAACTTCAGCACCAGCAGAACACGGCAAAAAAGGCACTAGGGACCGTTCCGTCGTCCTCTGCCAAGCCATGGGCCGTCCTCAGTAGGGAGAAGTAAAAACAAGACTTTAAATTCAGGCAGATTAATTTTGTTTCCTTAAAAGACAATAGCTTTATCACTTTCAAAAAAATAAGTATTCTCTAAACAGTTTAGTTTGTTCAGCCAGACAATGTAACAGCTGTGGTCCATTGCCAGGGTGTAGGTTTTTGTACAACGGCACCAGACACCTTCTGCAATGTCCTAAGACAAAATACTGCAAGGGTTATTTGGACATGTACTTTGAAAGCAATTTTCATTTTATTCATGCACATTTCATATGTGTTTTTTGTAGCTGTGCTTAGCTAAAGGCACTAGCACAGTTCCCAGTTGTGTATTCAGTTGCTGCATTCTGCATGGTGCTGCATTGAGACGTGTCAGAGCTACTGACAGCAAATAAATACCCCTTGCAATATTCAGTGTATTCATCCACAATAACCTCAATTTATAAAGTGACCAAAGATGCTAATTCACTGCCCCCAAAATTTGGTAAAATGATTTTCAGCAATGAATATACTCCAGCTCTCCCAGTTCTATGACTGATTCCATACGTTCCACACTCACAACATCTCACACGCAAAGACCAAAAAAGAAAAAAAAAAAAAAAAGAAGGAAGTGAAAGAAATATGCAATCACTTAACATTGGGGTTTCTCTTGCTAAAAATAGCTCCCTGGAATCATGTGCCTCCTCTGAAGCACTTCTTAAGACAGTCTTAAAGATTATGGCCCATGTCACGAAGTCCCTGTGTGAGGTACTTTGCTGCACCTTTGTGCAGCAGAGAGGGGTTTGTGCCTCTTTTCCCCCCCCGACTGCATTTCTGGGGCGCCCCAGCCTCTAGGCCAGACGTGGGGTGTGAAAAGCTGTTTCTCTGTGGGTTTTGTTGGGGGCTGCCGAGCTCAGAGCCGGCGCAGGCTGGAGCTGCCCGAGTGCCCCGGCCATGGCCACCGCGGGGACGCTGGCACAGGGGTCGGCTGGGGGGGACCTGGGCCGCTGCAGGGACGGGGAGCAGCACGGCCCTGGGCTCAGCCATGGCCGGCCTGTCCCGCCGTGCCCGTTATCAGGCCCAGGCACAACGCCCCGGTGACAGGCACAAGCCGAGACCACAGACACGTCAGGCTCCTTTGGTTACCGGGGTGGGGTTTTTTTGCTTCTGCTTTTCTTGGTTGGAATTTTTTCCAGTGCCACCACAGTGCCCACTGGCAACAAACACGCGTGTGCAGGAGGCATTCAGGGATACTTCTTTTTTCCCCATGTGGTTTGCCTGGGAGGAACCGGCTTTCCCCAGCAGCAGAGAAGATTGCTGAGAAGAAAGCCTATGGAGATAAGCCTGGCTACAGGCCACCAGATAATTTGGGAGGGATCTGTGAATGGCTACCAGATGAGCTGACACTAGTCTCAGCTAATCCAGGCTACACCAGGAACGCTACCAGAAGAACATTGCATTCGACAGGCAATAAAGACTACCCACCTCACGTCTTCATTTCTCTTAGTAGGAAGAACTATTTAAAGACTGCTTCCCGCCAGCAGCTGGGCCAAAGGAGTCACCCTCAGCATAATAAGCCCCTACGTTTCAGCAAGTAGGTGTTGGTACAATCAGAGGGGACAGCTGAGCCGCTCGTGACCTTCCCCACGCTGCAGAGCAACAACAGGACTTCGGATTCTTCGAGCACGGGTTGACCTACAGGTCACCAGGAATGCTTGCAGCAGGTGGGGAAAGCCTTAGCCAAAGGGGAAAAAGGATATTGGGTCAGGAGTTAGCAGGGCTCATTGAGAGGGCTTTAAACTAGATTTGAAGGGGGATGGGGTTGGAACCAGGGTCACTAAAGTGGCGCCCGGGACAACCGCACCGGTGCTAATAGATGAAGGTGCCAGCAAGGTCCTGCAGCCTGGTGCAGCAGTTGAGGTGGGTGAGAGAAACACATGTGTTAATGAAGACACAAGGAGTAGGGATGGGACGATAACTGTGGAAATGTCTGCACACAGGTGGGAATTAGAGTTTGCCCTCCCAGAAAAACAGTGGGACGGTCAGCCCAGCTGGAGTGCATCTACATGAACGCACGCAGCACGGGCAACAAACAGGAGGAGCTGGAGGCCATCGTACAGCAAGAAAACTATGATCTAGTCGCCATCACAGAAACGTGGTGGGAGGACTCACATAACTGGAGTGCTGTGATCGATGGCTACCAGCTTTTCAGAAGGGACAGGCAAGGAAAGAAAGGCGGTGGGGTGGCCCTTTATGTCAAGAACAGTATCACATGTCTAGAACTCAGCAATATGTATGATGGCAGTGCTGAGTGTCTATGGATGAGAATCAAGGGGAGGACCAGTAAGGCAGATATTGTGGTGGGAGTCTGTTATAGACCCCCGAACCAGGATGCAAAGACTGATGAAGAATTCTATAAGCAGCTGGCAGAGGCCTCAAGATCACTCTCCCTTGTACTCATGGGGGACTTCAACTTCCCTGACATCTGCTGGAAATACAACACAGCAGAGGCGCAACAATCCTGGAGATTCTTGAAGTGCATGGAAGACAACTTCCTAATGCAACTGGTGAGGAAACCAACTAGGGAAGGTGCCCTACTGGACCTGCTGATAGTTAACTCAGAGGGTCTTGTGGGGAATGTAACCGTTGGGGGTCGACTTGGGCAGAGTGATCATGAAATGATAAAATTTTCAATTCTTGCTGAAGCAAGGAGGGGGGCCAGCAATACTGCCACCTTGGACTTCCAAAGGGTGGACTTTGGCCTCTTCAGGAGCATGGTTGAAAGTGTCCCTTGGGAGACAGTTCTGAGGGCCAAAGGTGCCCAAGAAAGCTGGTCGTACTTCAAGGAGGCACTCTTAAAAATACAGGAAAGAGCCATACCTAAGACCGGGAAAAAAAGCAGGAATGGAAGACGACCAGCCTGGCTAAATAGAGAGCTTTGGCTGGAGCTCAAGAACAAAAAGGTGGTTGTTGGTCTTGGTGCCTCAGTCTCTCTGAGCAAAACATGGAGCTAAAAAATCTCCGGCCTTTTGTGGAGAGCTCTGGGAGCCAAGGAGAACACACTCGGAGGGGAGAACCGGCTGTGGGTCACTGAAGCTGTTTACCAGCTCTACCCAGCACACGGGAAAGAGACACTAACAGTCCACCCCCACAGATACCTAAACCTTCTGCAGGAAAACGAAGAAACTGTTTTTACTATTGAAAGTAGCAGATCATAAAGAACCTTCCAACGTCCTGAGCCCTAACCAATAGCCTAAAAACCCAGACACAGGCCAGTGTTCCTTCGTAAAGTCTAGCACAAAAGAGATTCTCCAAGGGCATGAACAAAAACTCCAACCAAGCAAGCCCCTCCCGCCCGTCCCAGGGGAGCGCGGTCCCGGGAGCGGCCCCGACCGACGGGAAAGAAACCGGTCACCCCGGCCCTCGGGGGCTGCTCCGTCCCGGGAACGCCCCGTCGGGCCACAAGCCCTGGGCCCACAGCGGCCAGGTCCCCAGAGCCGCCCTGCTGCGGCACCTTGGCCTCATCCCCTGTCCGGGGGGTGCGCGGTCAAAACTGCTTCATTTGGGCCCGCCGCCGGGCGGGTGTGTGTGTCTCCCCGCCCCCGGTAAGTTAATTAGCTACATTAAGAAGGACGGGCTGTGCCGGGCGGGGGTTCCAGCCGGCACATCTCCGAACGGACCCGAGGGAGGCTCCGCGCCCGCCCCGCTCGCTCCCCGCCGGCCGCAGCATGGCGGAGCCGCCCCGCCGCCTGGCCTCCCTCCTGCTGCTGCTGCTCTGGGGCTGCCTCAGCCCGCCCGCCCGCGCCGGCCTCCACTTCAGGCCCGGGCAGAGCTGCCACGTTCGGAGGGTCTCCCCGGTGCGGGGGGTGTCGGGGACAGGGGGTTCCCGCCCTCCCCCCGTGGCGGTCACGAGGCGGGTGGGGCCCGGTCACGCTGCCCGCCGTCACGTGACCCGCGCGCCGGCACCACCCCCCCCCCCCCC